ATTACTAATAATTTTCTTAATTAAAACTTTAGAATAACTTTATTTTAATATATCATTATAAAAATTAAAAATTTTTTATATTTGATTTGATTTGATTTATATTTGATTCAATCAAATATTTGAGTTCAATTCGATTCGATCAATTTGAAAAAATCAAATCAAATTTAAATTGCTTAAATATTTGATTTGATTTGATTTTGAGGAATCCTAGATGTTACAATTCACTTTATGGACAAATCATGGAATTTTCAAAAGCTTACACTTGACTTTAATGAGTTAAAAGGCATTTATTCTGGTGAACACATAGCTGAAAAGTTAATTGATATATTAGATACATACATTTTGAACCTTCTGGTTCAATATGTTTTAAAAGAACTTAAATGTGAAATAAATCGAATCAGAAATATTATTATTAAATGTTATTCTTCTTTTCAATGATGATAAAAATTCAAAGAAATTTCAAATTTTAATGGCATTGAAAATCTGTCTCTGATTTTAAATATTTTAACTTGTTAGAATTCTATATATGAAATGATTAAATGCGCTTTAGATTTGAAAGTAGTTAGTACTTTAGTTAAAATTTAAATTATTAAAGATTTATATATAATTAATTAAAGATTTTATATAATTAGTTTTTGATAAGATTGTTTTAACTGATGAATTTTCATTCATCAGAGATATTGAGGAAATTGTAATTTTTTTAAAGCGATTTGCAAAAATTTCAACTGAAATGTATGTATTAACTTATTCTACCATAAGTTTAGTTTATCTCATATATAATCATTTAATGGATCATATTGAAAAAATAATGAAGGATAAAAAATCTTCAAAATCTTAGTTGTAGCTGCAAAGATGGCATAGAATAAACTTAGTAAATATTACAATAAAACTTCTGAATCAGTACATTATATTTTTACGATTAAATATTTTTGAAGCTAGATAGAAAATGATGATAATATATTTTATAGAAAAGCAAAAAATTTGTAAATAAATTAATTTTTATTATAAAAATTGGATAAATTATAAATTTTAAAAAATTTTTATTATTAAAATTAGATTTGTAGGTAAATTTGATAAGGCATAACTTTGATACCATTAGGTATTTTCTTGCCAATTCATCTGGGAAAGATGATTTTGCTGAAACTGAATCAGAAACTAACTCTATAACATTAAATTAATAAAGAAATGTATTTATAAATTAACAATAATAAAAATGTATAAATGAACAAAAGTTTTACTATTATCTTAGTTAACTATTTCAAACTCATTTTCAGTATAAACTCCCACTTCAACCTTTCGTTTTCATTCCTTAAACTCTGTAATAACCATGCACAAACCTTTAAAAGATTCATCATCAGCATAAAGAATATTTTTATCCAAATTATAGTTCTTTGTGAACTTGACAATGACGATTTTTCCTCCAACAGTTTCTGCCTTCCAAGTCAAATTTCTTGGTTTTTCGATAAGCTTATAAAGATATGTAAACTTGACCTCATTCTTGTCAACTTGAAATTGATTCCAATAAGAAAAGAACCTTTGTATTTTTTCAACCTCAGCCTTATCTAACTCTTTTAAGTTTTTGTAATAACTGTCTAAGGTTCAAAAAGCAAGATGTAAAGATTCAAATAAAATTGCAAGCTCTTTCAACCTTTTTTCATCATCTTCAAGATGATCCATCATGAGAATGAAATCAGTAAGTGGTTCAATTATGGGTTTCTCAAGATATACAGCTCCAAGAACACAAATTCAAAGCCTTGCAATAGCAAGAATAATAGATAAACAACAAGAGCTATTGCGAATCTTAACGGTCTGTTCGTAATAAATTAGACATGAATAAATGCATGACTTTATCAATGTGTTACAAAGAAGTCACACCTGTAATTATGCCTAATAATTTGCATATTTACACCCTTTTAGATCGAAGAATCCTACCCTCCTATATCTATCTCATTTTTGTATTCCCATAAAAATGAGACAGCTTTCTCTCCGAACACTATATTACAGTAAGTAGCATATCATCATCAATAGAACCATTAACAGTAGTAATTAGGGTTGGATCGGTAGTCCTCAGAATTAAGTTCGAGGATCGTAAGGACTGGTCCTATTAACCGGTCTAAGACCGGTCTTACCAGGACCAATCCAACCCTAGTAGCAATAGATATTAGTTGGATCCCATCAAATAATGATGTAAAGAACAGTTGGGCTGCACTTTGTTGACTATCATTTTTATTGATTTGTCCCACTATATTGCAAAATTCTAGAACCTGTGTATATTGGTTGGCCAGAACATTTAGTTCATAGTTGTGATAATTGATGAGAAGCTGACCGGAAATAGGGTGAAAAAGAGATACAGTCATACCTCTTTATAGCGAATTTTTATATAACGAATTTTTTGGACAACTATATTAAATTTACCCTCGTTATAACGAACTAGCCAATCAAATTCTTTAAAAAATTCACTATAGCTCTATAGCGAAGTTGAAGTTCAGGACATAAAATTCGTTATATCAAGGGTTGACTGTATTGGTAGTCTACTGCATTCTGAAGGTTATAAACTAAATATTTTTAGCGTATTCTCATTACATTTTTTCCATTCCCTTGAAAATGCAGGTTTTGATAGGCAATGCATTTTACATATCTCTTTAATATTTTCCTCTTTCTCTATAATGTGCAATTAATAAAAAATAATAGGATATAACCGGAAATAGACATTTCATATTATAAGCTAATTATAAAGCAACTTTTGCTTACCAGTATGATTTTTGAAAAAAATAACATTATAAAATAATCTAAATAAAAGTCAATTTCTGCTTGACTTCAATGTTATCAAGTGTTATGACACTTTCCTCATTTTCCTCAAATTTGTATTGGATATTTATTTAATTGGAAATATAAACTTATATATGTTCAATTAAATATCTTATATGTCTAAATCCAACACTACCTCAAATGAAACATTAAATTTTCATATCTCGAAGGATTTTGTTGTCAGGGGCATTAATTTTTTTTCTAATGGCATCTTTAAGATATCCAATTGTCCTGCTATTAAAATGTCGATAGGAAAGACATCTGCAAGAGGATCTCCATTAACAATATACCAAATAGTTCTAACTGCTGGAACGAATAGTGATAAAAATTAGTTAGTAAGAACACTAGTATTATTAAAGATGGAAACTATAATTAATATGTTGCAACTTTTAATGTTACAACTTACGTTGCAATTAGTTTTAACCTATATATGTTGCAACTTATAATGTTGCAACATATGTTGCAACTAATTTTAGCTTATGTTGCAACATTTTGTAAATTTGAAATCAATTGCTGTACCATCTTTAAGTATTATCATACTGTGAAAAAAATTTTATCATAAAATCTTACATTCTTCTGTGAGCTTCCGTTTTTTTTGAGCTTTAATTGTTATTAAAGCACAATTAAACATGTGTATTTATTAACAAATACAGGTGAAATATGGTTTACTGGTAAGCGCAGGTATTTGATTTCTTTATGGATCCCAAATATCTCTATTAATGAGTTTGCGTAGTGTTTATATACGTAGAGTTTCAAATTTCATATCCTACAAGCCTCCATCTTTAAGGTATCCAGTGATTGAAATTTTATGAATTTAGGCTTTTTGGATTCGTCTCGCCAAGAGGAATCCAATGGTAGTAATTCGCATTTCTAGAATTGGTGGTGGTGGTGGTGTCAGAACATTTGGTGGTGGTCGTCTTTTGTGAGTCATTTGAGAGATATTCAGAGTCCTATTACACCTTCGTAGTACTTCTTTAACCATCATCATTCAGAACGTTCTTTAAATACCTGTTGTAAGAGTACGCAAGTTGTTATTTAGTGATAAAGGAAGGTACATAGCCAGTTCCTCCTCCAAAATGAGCAGACCTTTAACAACATACAAAGTTAGGGCACCTGAACTGAAGACTTGGAGTGGATACCAAGCAAGCAAGCCCAGTAATTCTCCTAGCCAGGTCAGTGTTTGATCTGACTAGGAGTTACCTTTCTTTGAAATAAAAAAAAGCACACACCTTTTCTTTTACAGCATTGAAGTTTTCTTGATCTAAAAGTTTTCTGCTTCATTTAAATAATTCGCAATCCAAGCACAGTTTAAATCATTCCAGTTAGCAGATGAGGAAGAAATTAAGACATTGTTGTTTAGTTTCAGAAAACTACGGTATGATTTGTTTTTATGATTTTGTAAATAGGATACAAGAGCAAGAAAATTTAATATTAATTAGAAAATGAAATACTAAGTCGGATTGCAAGTCATTAAAATTTACCATTGTAACCGACGTATGATTTATTTACAGCTTGTTTCTTAAAAATATAAAGGCATCTTCGACATCAAAATAATGGACTTAAATCAGTTTAACTTTCTTAGGTACCTATTTATTTATAATATACCTGATCAGATCACGAATAACGGAAGTGCGTAGCAACATTGCTGTGCCACAAGTATGCTTACCAAAAAAAAAATATTAATAAAAAAGCAAAAGCCGATTATGACTTGCCTATTCTGGATTAATTCCTCAATCTGATCGCACTAGAATGGCATTCTATCATCTTCATAAATGTCTTTATAACACGCACTTCTTGCTTGGCATATAAAAATGTTGCAAGGTAGCTTTGCGTTACTCGAATCAATTTTTAAGCTGTTAATTTTTCTTTCTTCGCTTCGCTCCGGACTAATAATAACCAATACCATTATGATTGCCTTCGAGAGTAATGTTCAAAAATCCACACGTTAAAAAAAAATAAAAATAAAAATAAAAACTCTAAACTTTCATAAGAAAAAAACTTTTGAAAAATTAAAAAGTAACAATAAACGCGACCGTTCGGGCTCGAACTTGTGGTATATTTGAGAGAACGAGGAAATAGGTCTTACCATGGTTTTTTACTCCATTTCTGAGAAGCTATAATTAATTCATCGTTAGTGATAATTAATCAAGCTGAACGAGCTATGTCTTCGATTCTTTCTGAGCTTGATGAAAAATATAGTCAACAATAGCTTATTAATCATTATAAATCTAAAGGATTACCTATTCCCAACACTTTAAAGAAGAACATCAGCAACAAATTGATGAAGTAAATGATTGTTGAAATGTAAAATTGATTTATATTGAAAGTGATAAACAATTAATATATCAGAATATTTGAGATTGTCAGCAAATAGCATAAGAAGGATTCAACGAATGATGAACCTGACCTTAGCTCGAATTCCAGTGATGGAAATTTTAGCTTAGAATTGTTCAGAGAGGATGAAATCTTGGAGAAGATAACGAAGATGAATTTCACGAAGATGGTGTTTCTTTATCTTCAATAGCTTCAAGGATCGGAGGAAGGAAAATGGACAAACTGATTCGCTTTTCTAATATCACCACCATCACTACTATCACCAATATCACCACCACCATCACAACATTTTACATCTAAAAATGAATTATTATCAACCAATGATAATTGATTTCGTTCAACTGGATATTATACATCCACCTTAAAGATGGTACAGCAATTGATTTCAAATTTACAAAATGTTGCAACATAAGCTAAAATTAGTTGCAACATATGTTGCAACATTATAAGTTGCAACATATATAGGTTAAAACTAATTGCAATGTAAATTGCAACATTAAAAGTTGCAACATATTAATTACAGTTCTCATCTTTAATCCACCTGTTTTATATTTTTATATTTTGGATATGGAGCAATTACCTTGTAATCACCACTGGCGCATTGGTCAGTGCCAGAAAATGGTACGAAGCTTTTTCACATATTTATCAACCATGATATCTTTAATCGATTCCCAGTATATTTGATTCAATGCCCCAAAAGCCAAAATGACGTGAAAACAGATTTTTGTTTCAATTTAATAACTTGAAAAGAAGATACGGTTAAATGGGAAGAAGATGTGATTACTATTAATGTTGGTTCTCCAAAAGGGCGACTCAGAACAAGTCCTTATGTATTCCACACTTCGCAGATAGACTTCACAATCGGCATCATCACCATCACCATCACCTGATACCTCTAGAATCCCTATCACCAATGATGTACCGGGGGAGGACAAAAGTATTGTACAATTTTAATTTAGATATTTTAGTTAATTTATCATATGTAACTGAGTCATATTTTTTAGTAACATATTGGCTAGCTAATGCTTAATAAAATATTTAAATAATTGTTAAAATTAAAGTATTGCAAGGTGTAAAATCGAAAATTTAAAAACACATTATTTTTCAATTTTTCGCATGTACTAAGCTTCGCTATAGGATTTGATATTTGGCTTTTTGGATGTTTCTCTTGCAAAAGAAACCAAATAACAATTGTATAATGACACGCTATGATTTCTGAGTTACTGACCCTTTAATTATTCTATCACTTGCGTCAAATCGAACTTTGGGAATATTTTCAAATTCGATTCATTTATGTAATCGATAATCAATATGTTCCTAAAAAAATATGGCACAGTTACATATGATAAATTAACTAAAATATCTAAATCAAAACTTTTGTCCTCCCCCGGTAGCTACCACCAATATTGCCGTTGCCACTACCATCATCAAAGTTGACAAAGTTGCAACTGCCAACGTTGAAACTTATTACCTCCTAATATCGAGCATACAACCTACAAATTAAATACTAATCTGTCCCTAAGTGAAATTCGTCCAAATTCAAATGTCAAAGTAATAATTATCGTATTATCATCATGGACTGAAAGTGGATACATGAAAAGACAAAGTTTTCGTGATACGAGTGTAAAATTAATTCCTCAAAATTCAAAGGACCTTTCAATAACTTATCGCTTCGTTCTAGGTGATGTTCCATCAGCAAAATTACAATTAAACATGGGTCATAAGCTCCTTGATGAATCCAAAAGATATGGTGATATAATTATTGTACCCACATCAGATCATGATGATGATCTAAGCCATAATTTTTATAAAGGATTTGAGTGGTCCAATAAATATTACTTTGATTACATCGTGAAAACTGATAGCTCGTGAATTGGAAGAATCAGGACCCGATAAAAAATATTATTGGAGAGACTTGGATATTGGTATGTAATGCCTCAAGTTCTAATGAATTGTTTATCGTTAACCAATTGATAATTATCTTTGAAATTATTAAAAAAATTACAAAAACTAAAACGAAAAAAAAAACAACAACAAAAAAAAAAGATAGGAATTTCCACCAATTCGTAATGCAGAAAATAAATACGCAGATTTTGATTATAAACTTCCTATATTTCCACCATTTACAGCTGGAATACTTTATATCTTATCAAGTGATATAATCTCTTTGATTGTAATTGATGCACCTCATATTTTACAAGGAACGATGGTTTTTTCTTATAAAATTAAACCAATTCATGATCGACGTATTCAACAAGTTGAGGATGATTTGATCGTTAAACATTATTGACCAATTTGAGGATGATCAAAGCATGAGAATGTTATCAATCACAGAAGGATATGTGAAGGATTTAGACAAAGGTTTTGTGCGTCGTGCTATCCCTGCTGGGGAAGAGAAGATCATTTGAAGGATTCGAATTTTGATTGTGATGATACGAAAGCCATAACCTTGCTTAATCAAACATATTTGATCCTCGATAATTCGAAAGCAAATATTTGATGATCCCATAAATGTTACAATTGGAAGTAAGGAAGATGAGTGGATATTCCGAATCTTCTCTCACAAATTCTTCAGTTATTCTCAAACAAATCAGTGGTATTTATTACATTGGGTATGTTGGACGACGGACCCAACTACTTTCTCAGAACGTCATTACAAGACCATAGAATTCATTTGGATTCATACGCCTAAAGCAGTGTTGGGCAATTGGACAATTTTAGACAGTTTTGGACAGGTTTTGGACATAATTTCATATGTCCAAAACCTTGTCCAAAATATTTAAAATTATAAAATGTGTCCAAACACTTCACTGGCCTAAAGCCATCGTTTTCGTCCTCTCGACAACTTTACCACCGGATTTTTTTTCTGAATATCAAAAACAAGGCTATCAAATCCAGGTGATCAACTTCGATAAGGGATCATTATTGGAACGGCAATGGTTTCTTGGTCAGAATTCCAAGAACTTGCTACATGATTGGAGTAAATGGGAAAATAATAAATTCTTCACTGATCATCTTACTGATTATATGCGATATTTGTTGTTGTATAAATATGGAGGCATGTTTATGGATATGGACGTTCTTTAGATACGGTGCTCCTTCCGACACAAGCATTGAATTCATTGGATCGGATGTTTCAAGTGTTCCTTCGGACTATTTTTGGACGCGGACGACATGTACGTTGCACCGGAATTATGCGATTTCGAAAAGGCAGGTCAATGTTTAAAGAGGTAATGGAACGAGTTTTTACTCCAACTTATTCAACATCATGTTTTAATTGTGTTGGACATCGAGCGATAACAATGTACGTTAAGAACATCGTAAAATTCTTGAGAGACATGGATTCAACATATTGCCTAGTCGGATCCTTAATCCAAGAAATGTTGATCACGTTGACAAACTTTTAAGACCGGCTCAAGAAGGTCTTCACAGAATCGAAATTTTTCATGGAACAAGAAATTGTTTGGCAAAGTGACTGATAATCAATTGATCAAAAATGATAGTTTTATTGAATAAATTTTCCTTAAACATTCCCCACTCAACAGCTCCATTAAAAGCAGATGAAGAACCGGATTTAAAGAATTGGACATCATCATATTCATTTCTCTTGGAAGGACCAAAGAAATATCGGTTCGTATCTCCAACTGTAATACAAGAAGTGGATAAATATCCAGGATCTTTAAATGGACAATTTCAAGGGCTAAATGTAATATTCATACGTGGTAGACCTGGTACAGCAACGATAAGAGTTAAGAGTTTGAATGGAAAATTATCTTTTGATTTACTAGATGGAGATTGGAGCGAAACATCTATGACATTTCATAATAGAACTAAAAAGACGTTAACGCTATCCTGAATGCTTAGTATATCGTCCGAGTGAAATAGGTGGAAGGATAACATTAGTTTTGAAATTATATATGGAGTAGATCAAGCTGCATTAACGAAATTCCCGTTTCGCAAGATATAGATAGTACCTTTTATTTAAATTGACCGAAAAAAAAAATTTGGTATAACTTTTTTTTTCTTGTAAAAACAAAAGCCGTTGTTTAAAACCTTTTTTTTTTATTTAAAAGGTAAAATAATTATCTGTTTGCTTTTAGACAATTAAATAAATTACATATAGTAATAAAAAATTAATTTATAGCGTTAAAATATCAGAATAGTTTAGTGTAAAAGTTCAAATTCACAGAGTGGCAATCTAAAGTACATTTTTTTTATTACTTCAAATTTAGATCTGTATGTTTACATCCATACTATCCATATTTAATAATACGTTCAATCTCTCACTTTTTTTTTATTTATTTTGAAGAACTTGCAGCTCCTTGAGTAATTTTGATTTGAATCACATCAATTGTCACTATAAAAATAATAATGATAAATTAAAATAAATAATAAAATAGTTTGGATAAAAGATGAACAAGCATGATTTCCTACTTTTCAAATTATTCTGTTTAGATGTAATCGTTTGTTGCAAGGATTCGGAATTCTTCTTTACAAATTCAACTTTTTCTGTATAAAAATTTACTGCCTCATTTAAATTCTTTATTAATATGAAAATTTAATAATTAAAAAAATTTATCAAATCAAGTAAATCAAAATATTTGAATATGTAAAGTTAACCTTTTCAATGTAATAGCCAGTTCCAATATCTACTATTACTTTATCAGTATCAACCAATTCTCCTGGTACATAAAGGTATTTGTTTTGTTAAGGAAACATTTGTAATTTTGAGAATAATTCCTTTTTCAATTATAGATGTAAAAAAAAGGATATTGATTGTGTTAATGGAACAAGAATGTCTTTTCCTGTATAATAAAAAGGAAGTTGATCAGCAAAGCAATTAATTGATAACAAATAAATGGTAAAATTTTGAATCAATTACCAGCGTTTCCTCCTTTTATAGTTTCTACACTAGCTATACAATCTTGAAAACGTGATTGAACTTGTTTCAGTTGTCCGAATGACGAGGTCAAATGTGATAATTCCTAATAAAAATAATTTCTACTGAATTCATTTTTTATGCAAAAAGATAGAGGAAAAATCATAATTATTTTTTACCTCCTCTAATTGTTTCTTAACTTCAGATAATTGTGTCAAGTCCAAATCGATTAATTCAATAGTCTGTTGTTTAGGTGCAGTTGAAGTCGTCATAGTATCTTCCTTTTCAATTAAAGAAGAAGGTGGAGAAGGTATTGTAAACTGAAATGGTCGTTTATTAGGTCTTAATTTCCCCATTTTTGATATTTTTTGATCAGTGTAGTACAAAGATTTTTTTGTTACATGAACATGCATGGTCCGGATTTTAACAAATGTCAAAGTTTATCATTGGTGACGTAATAAATTAATCTTTTTATATAAATCTGTTAACGTTAACGTTAATAACATGAAAAAAATGATTTGCTCGATCAACTATCGTCAAAAACATCACAAAACATCAATTAATATAGAAACTTTGATCAAGGATTTGCAAGGTTTTTTTTTATGCGATCTTTTAATTTTTAATTTCATAAGATCCCGGTCCAATATTTCTATTTTGGCACTCAAAATAATTTTCCCTTCATACTTTTTCAGCATCATTGGGTCCGCACGACGGAGTTTTTTACCGAAGAAAAATAGCTATACATTAGATTAGGATCATCATACCAAAATGTTTGTGTTACGATTACCATAGTACTACCTATATCAACATACCTGTATTAAGGTGCACTGGTTTATTTTTTTGATTTCCTTTATTCTTTTCCTTTTCATATTTTTTACTATTAATTATGACAGACAAAGTTGATCAAAGTCATGTGACGTGCGTTTGTAAACAATCAATATCGAAACAATACTGGCAGGTTAGAGACAGAAAATAAGAATAATGTATATATTATTTAATAATGCTTTTAAAATGATGAATTACTTTATTCTTATAGGATCATCAAATTGTATGTGCAAAACGAAGATATATGTGTCCCGCATATGTTGCCTATATTAATAGTAATCCTGACGAAGGTTTATTACCACCGTTGGTTGATTCAAACTGTCCTCTTTCATTAAAAGAAATCGCAAAATTACAAGTATTGAAAAGGTATTGTCTATGTATCAATGACAAATTAGTATATTGTTAACAAAATATCGTTTCCTTTTTTTTTAGCGAAAAATTCAATCGAACGGAATGGTTGAGATTGAATAATATTCCCTTTAAACTCATAAACTATTTAACAAAAGAATGTCCAATATTTGGAAGTAAACAAGAATTAATAAACCACATCGAGAAATCTTGTCCATATTGGAAGGTAAAATGCTTAGACATACCTGATGCGAAAGTTAGAAATTCTCATAAGGAAGATAATTGTTCACTTGATACGGGATTTTCGATCCAAGGATTCATGTCTCACTCCAAAGAGTCGGTAACTAACTTGTCATTTAAAATATTTGATCCTCCTTTCAACAAAGTTTTAGTAAACTCACCTTTTACGGATTAAATTTTAGGCACTTGATCCAATAAGTCAAAGAATTCGAGTAATTTCAATGATATTTCCTTATTATTGTAAGAAATGTGATCACCATTTTCCGTCTTCGGGCTCCCATATATGTATTAAAGAAACCAATTCTATGAATATCCAAAATCAAGAGGTATTATGTCCAATTTGTATTTCAATAATCTCTGTAAATTCCTCCATAGAGATTGAAAATACATGTGTAGATTGTAATGACTGGTACTCAAATATCGGTAGAAACAATTTTTTAAAAATAAGCCAATTAGATTTCAATAATTAATATCCTAACGCTAAGAAAAGTGCTAATTTTAAGTAATATTATTTAATAAATCAATTATTAATAATATACTATATCATCTACAGCTTTTCTCTTTCCAAGAATAAAATTTGAGTTAGTTTTAATCACCAGTGGAAATGTATGTTACATAATTAATTAAATTTCCTATATTGGAAAATAACTCGAGGGTGCACAAATATGGTAGTAGGTAGTACAGTACTACTTTCCAAATTTGATCTTCCAGGGTTCATATTTAAGGATTTTTAATTATCGAATTGTTTTTTGCCTGTATGTTGATTTCACAACTTAATTATTCGATTTAAATCATACAACCTTTTTTTTCCCGCCAATATTATAAATAAAAATGTATAAAAAAGTAAAATACAACATCTCACCAACACAGACATTGAACGAATTATATTTATTTGATCCTTATTTTGATTTATTTAATATTTACACACCTTAAATACCTTTACATTTTCTTTTTTTATTATAATTATTTTTTCAAATCTTTTTTTTTTTTTTTTCTTTTTTTTTTATTCGCTTTTTTTTTTATTTACCTTTTATTATAACGTTTTTAAATAAATTAATTAATAATGTTAAAGTTTGGTCTCAGATTTTTACATGATAGAAAGAAAGAGGTAAGTTATCATACAAAGACGAGTGTGTTACAGTAATTTTCACCATTTCAAAGAACCTCTCTTTTTTTTCTCACTTTCTTTGTTCTTTTCTCCCCTCATATTAGGGAAAAAATTCGAACCAAGGAACCAAACCGGAGTTACCTGCTTTTGAGTGGCAAGTGACCAGTGATACAAGTTTTGAAGATTGTTTGCCTTCACCTACTTCCACATCGAACATTAATCCTCCCAACAATGTAATACTTTACAATACAGATGGAAATCATCCTTTGGTTAAAACTCATTCAAGATCAACAACTAATGTTGAATCTGGTAGAATAAGATTAATACAAATAATTGAAGAAGAAGAAGCGAGAACAAAATTTAGAAATTATTTAGTTTCACAATATTGTGAAGAAAATTTAGATTTTTATATGGATATTATAAAATTTCACACTCATTTTAAAAGTGAAGGTTCTTTAAACCTTCTTGAAATTATTTCTTGTGCCAATTATATATGGAATGAATATTTGGATTCTGAAACTTCCTCAAAAGCTTTAAATGTTCCTCAAGACCTTTTAAACAATTGTAAACAAAAAATCTCTAAAAAGTTATTTACCATTGATTTATTTGATAAACTTCAACAACATTGTTTTGATTTAATGTTACAAGATTCTTTACCGAAATTTACGCGTAATTCAATGGCATTTTCTTCATCGGAACCATTATTTCCCCCTAGTACCCCTTCCTCTCCTACTTTTCTTCGTCCTCCTTCTTTTGTTGGTATTAATCATAAACAACCTCCTTTAAGTTTAAGGAAATCTATTTCCTCCGGTTCACTTCGTACTAAAATGATGGCTTCATTGAAAACCGTCACTGAACCACCACATCCATTTGATATTTGTCACGCCACTGTCACACCCACCTCACTCACCTCTCCCACCTCTCCCACCTCTCCTACCTCAACCTCAACTTCTCCCACCTCTCCTACTTCCACCTCAACTACTTCCACCTCAACTTCTCCCACCTCTCCTACCTTCACCTCCACATCTCACACCTCCTTCACCTCTTCCGCCTCCACATCTCCCACATCTCCCATATCACCTACATCTCCTCTTTCGTCACAACGATCGATCATATTAACCCGTACTACATCGACCATATCCACTTCGACAACATCTTCATTTACTTCTACTTCAACCACATCATCAACACCAACAACTCCTACAACAATTTCTGCTCCATCGGTAAGAAGCAAGAGCGTTTCTAGTAACTCAGACATTATTTCAACATCTGCAGATAGTAGTAATAGAAGTTCAACCGTTTCAACGTTATCAACACCTACAACGATAGTGAATGTTCAACAAAGGGTGTCAATGGCATCAGTTGTGTCTATAACAAACATTACAAAAAGAATGTTATCACGTCGTCGTCGTAATTCGACAAGTTCAAATTCTAGCAAATTTTCTGTGACAACTCTTTCATCAGTATTTTATTTGAGTAGTATGGAGAAATTTATGGGCATGCCAGGTACATATCCTTGTACTTCGGTACCCAATAATAATACCGCCACACCAAATGAAAGTGATGAAGGAGTTTATGATTTGCCTTCATCTTCAAATGAAAGTGATGAAATAAGTACCTGGCAAAAACTTCGAAAAAACATTTCTACTCCTAATTTATCTCGTTCAATTTTAAGATCAAATGCATTTAAATTCTGATAAATTCTTGCCTCAATTAATTTTTTTTCGTACTTGAAAAATAATATTTATTAAATTTTGAAATAGAAGTATAAATTTTCAGCGAATTTCAAAAAAAAATAAAAAAATAAAAAAAAAGATTATCGAGATGGCAAATTAGAAATTTACAATAGATTCGCCTCAAAACTTTTGTTTTTTAAAAAAAAAAGACAAAACAAAAATTACCATCAATCCACTCTTTAACCAATCAATTGTAACTTCATTTTTATTATACATGCACATACCTTTATTTACTTCAACCTTTTTATTTATAAACATCATTTGTAGCTTCTTTATTTCAGATTCCTTAATGTATATTTTGTTATTTATTCAACTCCATTCACAATTAATCAAAATAAATTTTATTTTCTGAAATCTTTTCGCTTATTAACGCGATTATGTATAATTTAAATTAATATCACGTATCAATTTGACTGCGGCTCGTGTTACAAAAACCATTTTAAACTTTTTTGATGATTCGCGCATTGATCAACTAACTTTATTTCATATATATATATTATATTTGTTGCATGACCAAATAAAATATACTCACATTTTTCTGTAGATCAAAGTTTATTAATTCCGATGATCCACAAATAAAACGGTTTAGTCGCTCAAGCATTTAATACATTGCTTTCTAAAAAGGTTATATTAAAATGGAAATCCTTTTTAATTTGTGTGATGTTAAAAGAAAAAAAAATATCATTTAATAATAAATTTGTTCTGCATATTTAAATTATATCATTTATTGACTTGTAAATAAAAAAGAACGTTTAATCATTGGTCAAACAAAAAAGCATCTTATCAAATGATTCCAATTAAAGTCTAATTTCGGATTAATTGACACCACAGAAAACATTATGTAAATAATGTGCTCATTTCGCGTCAATTTAACAACAGCCGAAATAAAAAAATAATAATAAAGAACGTACTAGGATAATCATTCCCGTTATATAAGAACAATAAGAATGTAATAAAGTTGATTTTCTATCTTATCAGTCTAAATAATAGAATCTTTTGATTATTAATGTATACATTTCTCTTGTTTGGAATAATATTTTTTTAATATAATTTTTAAAAATTTAAATAATTTAAATCATTCGTTTAAATATATTAAATAAAAACCAAAAGTACTAAGATTGTAAATAAATCCTTATAAATAATTTTATCAACACAAGGTTAATTATTTTTAATTTTAATTCCATGTGATCGACAAAAATTTTAACCCCGAAGGTGATCGATCGTCATTAATTTTAACTAGAAGTTAAATATAATAAATTTTAACTATTTAACTGATCACGCGACTAATTTAGAAATCCGGAAAAAAAAGATTTTTCCGATAATCATTAAAATTTACCGGAAATGTACCGACGTCTATTAAAATTTACCAGATTATAAAAAAAAAAAAAAATTTTTAATTTGTGACACTGATACTTTATTAATATTTATGAAGAATTAAATTCTTCGTTTACATTTTTCATTCCATATTTGTAATGCTCTAGTAAAATTAAATTCAGCTAAATCATTTTCTTCCAATCCAACCATCATTAAAAAATGTAATGTTTCATTATTTAAGAAATAGTTTTTATCAAATTCTGCTTTGAAAATCCATGCTCACATTCTACTGAAGAAAATGGAATAGAATATATAATGCCTAATAATTTAATATTATTTGGAAAAGTATCATAATAAAATTCAAATAATCTTAGCATTAATGATTCAATTTTTATATTTCTAAAATTAGCATATATTATCACTTTGTACCTAAACCATTCTTCACAAATATTATTAACTCCAATAATTTGTTTCTTTCCATAAAATTCTGCTAGATGATTTAATTCTTTTTCATCATATTTTACAAGTTCTTCTTTGCTATTTGGCCAATTAGTATGATCAAATATTTTCATAGAATTAAGTAATGGTCTATCAGAAAATCTTTCTTGAATTTTTAAAGAAACAACTAATATAAAAGATGATATATCAATAATTAAATCTGTCTCATAATTTTTTATTCCACGTTAATTGATGCAGACCTGCTTCCTCATTGACGAACGAAAATAGAGAAATGCTAAATTTCATCTTATTCTGAATAAAAAGAAACTCTTGATTTGGGATGATATTGCTGAAAAAATTAACAAACATGAAAATACCAATTTTTTACTAGCGTAGACTGTTGCAAGAAGTTCAAAAATCTCAAAAAGGCTTATAAAGTAAGTAACTCTTACTTAGCTCTATGAAGAATCTGGCTGATAATATTCTTATTATCATTATTTTATTAGACAGCTGTAAAATATAAAAAGGATGGGAAAAAAGAAGTTTAATAGGAGAAGGGATCTATAAGAAGTTCTCTAGTAAATTTGGTTGAAGTCTGATTACTACACTTTTAGAAATCTGATGCTTCTCAATTATTATTGGTCGCTAGTAAACTTTATTAATATCGATATATTTTAATTTGCTAGATCTTTCATTTAAACGAGTACATAATGAGAGCGTTATGAGGTTAAATGAAGCAACCTCTTTATCACCATCTTCTGTATCATCAAGATCATAAACATCATTATCTAAAATTATCATAAATATACCTGTTCCATCAAGATCGGTAACACTATCTATTGAAACATTTGTGATCTCTAGGCCAGTCACACCTACCCTCCCTTCATTTTCACAAAGTGCTAATATCATTAATGTAACCATTAATTATGCTGGTGCTGATTCTAAAGAAATAGATTCTGATAAGCAGAATTAGGCAGTTTTTTTTATTAATATATCAATAGCAATATTTACTAATAAACCTAGCTATTTTTTTATAACTTGTAGTAGAATATAAAAGCACATGTAATATTATTAATAGATATATTTAGTAGATATATGTTTTAAAAATCAATAAAATGCTTTATTGGATAAAGTAATACAAAATAACAATATATAATACAAGTGAATTATTATACTGTATGTGTGATCACGTGAAATTTAGATCTTAGACTTAATACTAAAGTGTCCGTTTAAGTTTAGACAAAATATCTCATTACATATTTTCGGCCAAAAATAAAAGAGTATAGATTAATGAAAGTATTTCTTCTAGCAAGTTCTAGTTATTATAATTTTACAATCACGAGTAAAATGTGTTCAGAAAGTATAAAAACCCTATATTCTATCCTTTCGTAAATACATCTCAAAAAAAAAAAATACTCATAGAATTAGAAAGATCTAATAGCATAGCTTCACAGATTCCATTGACTAATGAAGAAGATTTTTTTGAATTTGATTATAGGAGTATCACTAATCACGAGAATCAAATTACCACACCAACCAATTTTCAAGCTAAATCTGTCACCTGTTCTTAGTGTATAAAACCTGATCCATTATTTGAAACTAATGGAAATAACTTAGAACCAGTCGCAAGATTGTCCTGTCTTCATAGCTTCTATCTTAAGTGTATTATTATTTCCTTAAAAAAGATATAACATGTTCTTGTTATCAACATCTTATTTATCTTGGTAATGATGATGATGCAAAGCTAAATTCTAGAGAAGATGATAATGTTAAAAAAATTTTTAAAGAGTTATCAAACAGACCACAAGATTTCAATCCATACCAGAGGTGTCAGATATGAAAACAGGAGATCCTACAACTCCTGAAATAATATTTGTCAGATTACATAATAAAATACTTTATGCTGAGAAGATTCTTAATAAAAAAACATGTGAAGTATTCCGCATGAAATATGAAATCCTTGACTTTCACTATCCTCTTAGAGAAGCATTGAAAAAGAAATTAGTCGAATTTACCTCTATTTATTCTTTTTAAACTGTACGAATATTGCTTAATGCAAAAATTAGGCAATAATTCACCTTTGAAATAACTTGCAATATCTTTAACAAGAAAAAATGATCAGCTAAAAATATTTACAATATATTTAAAACAGAAGGTTTAGGAAGAGACGAGATTAAATGAATTAGGAGAATTTTACCATTGTCTTTTGGGAAATTTACTAATAAAGAAATAAAGGTTATTTAAGAAAGAATTAGAACGAATTCTTCTTGACCAAATTGGCTTGATCAATTTGATGATTTAGAACTAAATGAACTAATGTTAACTGATTGAATAGAAGCGCTGTGTATTGTATATCTACATAGATTCTAATAAATGTTCTGCTTTATTTTTTGATGTAATAAAAAGTGTTAACCTATTATATTTACATAGATTCCAATGTGTAATCTGTTATTTTTATATGTAATATAAAATATTAGCTGAACTTATTTAATAAATAATTGGTCAGAATTTATTTTTTATTTTTGGTGTTCATGATGTTCATGATACTATTTATGGTATGATACTTATATTTATATTTTATATGACATCTGCAATATCATGTGTTCTATGATATCACTTAGAATAATTTTTTTGTAAAATACAAAAAGAGTCATCTGTATTTCACAATTATCAGATGACATTGAGCTTTGATGAATTAGTATCATATGACACTCATAGCAATATGTATATAAAGGATCACTTGACATTGAGCCTGGATGATGCAGTATCACATGACACTAGTGATACCTGACTAAAATTTTTTTTGAAAAATTGTAATTTCGTCAAAAGTTTTGTTTCTTTAATATTTTTATATGAATAAATATAAAATTATTATATTTTTTAATGTATTTTAATTCAAGGAATTTAGATCAAGTTAAATATAATTTTGACAATTAAGTAAATAATTTTGTCATTAATAAAAAACTAGTTTTGTCATTTTAGTTTTGTCAATTTCGTCATATTAAGAAAGGTAATTTTGTCAGATATCATTACATGACACTCAAAACACTATATATATAGAAGGATATTCACTATAGATCATGATATTGGGCCCTTAGAGAACAGTATCATATGTCACTCCTAATAGTATATATGTAGAAGATCACTTGATACTGAATTCTTAGAGAGCAGTATTATGGGTTAGAAATTCATTGTACATTGATTTTACGTAATGTGAATACTGTGAAACAGTCACTCCTAAATATTACGATCATCGCAAAACATGAATAAATATAATAACCAAATATCATATCTGAATTTAATAGTATAATAAGTTTGGAATAATATAAAAAAAGAAATTTAAATAAATAACTAATGAATTAAAGTTACAAAAGTACGCTTACTCTTAACCAGATATAGATTAACTGATCTTAAACATAATATAAAGATAGTCACTACTCTGATGTCTATTAATTTGCCGATCTCGATTCAGCTAAAAAAATAGACCTATATGATAATTCAATATATAATCCACTTAATAATTCTTCTAGTTAAATACCAAGATATGATAAAACTTATCATTGGTGAGGTTTTTCTTTCATATTTTCCATCACAATAATAATAACCACCATCATATTCACCATATCTATTGTATCCATTATCACACCTATCATCATCTGATTCATATAGTATCTCATCTTCAGAATCATTAGAATCGTTTTCATCGTCTGACTTAACTGATTGCGAAACAATCCTTTCATTTGTTCCTTTCACTGACTGAGGTGTGAGATTATGATCAAATTTATTATCAAAATGTACATCTCTGTAATCCTCAACTGAAATTAAGAGTTTCGTTTGCGTCTCCAATACCTCTTTAAAATCAGTAATAGAGATATCTTGTTTCTCGAGATCATCAGCAAATTTTATATTAGGTTTTTTAGTGAAGTAATCTATAATTGTTTAAATCTGAGAATTAGTGAATTTTGATATAGTATCGGCACTATATGTTTTGATATAATAAATTTTGTCCTCACCTATTTTATTGAATAAATTATCGATTCTTAAAGCTCTTTGTGTCTGCTTATATAAGGTTTTACGCTTGGTATTTGGAAGATGCTTGACAATATAATCGTATACTTATTCCTTCGCCTTTTTCTCCCTAACTTTATTGCTAACTATATATTCTTTATACATGTATTTGAATTCTCTTGCATAGAAACACCAACATAATGTTTCTTTTCTATTGGCTTTGATTACGTCTTTTTTCAGCTTCACATGTGTGTTGGTAAAGACTGATAATATTCTGTTTTAGCTGATCAATACTTGCTGAAATTTCAGTCACATATGAAGCACCTTTCGGCTGTTTTTCATCCTCTTCTATAAATGAAGTCATTTCTCAAATCAGCCTCTGCTCACTTTTTTGCTGAGAAGCCTTTACTTTTATATCTATCTGTTCACAGTTGTTTCTTCTCTTTATTGCGTTGTCTTATCCCATTACTAACGCTTTGCTTGTATATTTCGTCTAAGAAAATATCTTCTACATTAGAATTATACTGCTCAGGCTGAGCTATAATAGATTCAGATTTATTAGTATGTGGTACATCTGGTATCGGTATTTGTTTAAGCAGACAATCACTTATTTCTTCTGATACCTTCTATTCACTTACGCTTGAAAGGGTACTGAAGCTATCAGGCAGGTTATTTTGCATCTGCCTGTAATCCTGCTCTAATTTTCTAACTTTATCTCTAAGCTCAACATTTTCAGATTTGAGTTTAGAGATAGCTGACTTATTTTTCTTTAGCTCCACTATTTCAGCATTAAGTTTTCCAACCTTAGTTGTAAAATCTGCTATAATTTTATGCAACTCATCGGTTTTAGTCTCAAGCATTCGTTTCATCTCCAACTTCTCACTCTCAATCTCATTAATCTTGGCTATAAGTCTAGCATCTTCTTGCCTAGTCAAACCAAGCTCAGATTTCATTTTCATAAATATTTTTATGCATTATATCAAAATGAGCATTCAAAATAAAAAAATATCACGTGATTTTGGGTAATCTAAGAATGCTAAAATTTTGCCAAGAAAATTTACGAGAAAATGATTATTTGTTCACACATTTCAGGACCTTTATTTTTGGCATCATTAAGTAAATCTACTACTATTTCTGTAGTTGTCAGTTGGTATAATATCATAACTGATCAACAATCTAACCATCCTTTTTTACCTTACCTCATTAGAATGATGAAATCAGTTATGCGAGTATCTATTTTATTTCTATAATATTCTGCTTTGGAGACGAGTCTATCTTAACTGGATACATCACAAAATACCTTCATACTAAAGAGTTCTCTCATTAAGGAGTGATATGCCTTTTCTCTTGGATCATCACTTTGGTTTTCAAGCTTAATCAAAAGATTAATAAAGTTATCAATCCTAGGCATATTTTTTCGATTATATGATAATACTTTGTAAACTTCATCAACTACTAGACCTTGACAAATATGTTCTTGCAATTCTGTATCCGTTACTGTTATACTTTTGGGCTGAGTCTTATTGGCTGATGTTAAAGTTGCCGATGGTGTAGATTGAATATGTCTTTTATTCTTTTTACAAACCATAATCTTGACTTTAGAAGAATGAATTCAAAATCTCAAAGAAAAAAATGAAGAGACAGATGCTGTGCATGGATCAGCAAATTCTTCTGAGCTGGTGATCACTGCTCCGGACTAGTCAGAGTATAATTATCGGAGGAGTCATATTATTACTATAACTATCTTTATCCTCTGATTCAGTCTCAGAGCTAGATGACTCAGTTTCAGTGTATTCCGAATCATAATATTAACTTAGATCAAGATTTCTCATAACTTTATTATGTTTGAAAAACTTGGTTATTATAACTTCCCTATCTGAATCATTTGCGATGAAATTAGGGAATAATAATTCATAGAATGTATATAACGAAGGAGGTAATATATCAATGTCATTTCTTATACGATAAAATCTTTTCACTTCATTTTTTTCACAATATCTCGCATCCCGTTTATCAATATTGTATCCCAATCTTACTAACCAATTATTACCTAAAACCAAATCATATTCAGGCTTATCAACAACTACGAAAGTTTCTGTATCTGCAATGCATCACGTTCTACTAATAAAGGAAATTAATACGTAGTGCGCAGATTTAATGAGATAATTGTGACGCAAATTTAATCATAAAGTGGCTTAGCATCTTTTTATTAAATCTTTTTTTTTTATGTGGCAAACATCTTTTATTAAATCTTTGTAAACAATCTTTCCAAAAACAACAAAAAATGTCACTCTATACCGGTTCGGAAAATGGCAGTTTTAGCAGTATAAGTTCAACAAGAACAAGGACAAGTTCTGTCACTACTGCGTAAGTAGATACGTACAACCGTTACTTCGCTAATTTTCCGGAGATATTCTTTGGAGTAGTGATGCGACTCCAGAACGAATGTCAGATTGTATATTTTATCGAAACCTTTGGTGGGATAAGGGAGAATTTAGCGAAGGGGCAAAGTGGGAAGAAGTAACGTAAGTCTCTTTTCCTACTTGTTCGACGTTGATATTTGTTTTAGCTATAAATTGTTATTCATATATAAGATTACCTTATGTGCTTGCTACGGGCATCGCCATTGAGGAATATGAAAAACGTACAGAAGAGTTTAAAATTCACGGATGTTGGGAGTGGTCAGACGGAAAAGTCTTAATCTACGAGTTTCCTTCTATGCCACACGAAGTTGGTATCGGTGCAGTTACTAGGATATTATTGCACCAATGCGATGCCGTTGCTTTTACCAATGCTGAGATTTATAGTTTTGGTGCTACTAGTAAGTATTAATATTATAACATATTGCTCTGTTTGCGTGCATCGTATTAATTTTTATTTCTTAAAGGAACATGTGACAGAACCCGTGGAAAAGAAGCCGATGCTTCGTTTCGTCCAAAAAAACCGGCTGTAACTGCACCAAATGGGTGCGATAGAAGTGTAATTTCTGTTCTTTTTATTGGTTATGAACTTTTTAAAGCTAGTAATTTCATATACCTTTTTTTATTTAGAATCATCCTTGGCCAAATTTGGTTGTGGAAGTAGCCTATAGTGAGACATTAGATCACGTCGAAGAAGCTTTGAGATATTGGTTAAGTCCTGATCGTGCCCACGATTGTATTATTGTAAAAATCGATCCAGTTCCTCAAGGCCAAGTACCGGTTCGTATGAGGGTAAGTTATTTATACAGTGTAGCAATCATATTATTTGTATAACAATCTAAGATTTTAATTCATTGTAGGCTTGGCATTACTGTTTCTTAGCAGGTAGAGGAACGAGAAATACAGTTCCTCTTGTAAATACGGTAATGTTATACT